ATATATATATATATAATCCCAATTCAAAATAAACATAATTTTAATAACATACCAGGTCCGACAGGTTTTGAAGGAACAACTGGTTTATCCAATGTACTTGAAGTTCCAGGATATGATGGAATACTTGGTTTTTCTGGTCTTCCTGGTGTATCTGGCTTGCTGGAAGTTTCTGGATATCCTAAATAAGATAATGTATTTGTGGCATTAGTAGCATGTCTTTAGTATAACAAAAATTCTAAAATATTTTAAATATGACAATATTATAGATGTACCTGACACATTAGATGCTCCAGGGAATTCTGGATATCCGGGATATGATGATGTGCATGGTCTTCCTGGTGTACCTGGTGTACCGGGTATTCCAGGCGTCCCAGGCGCGCCAGGATATCCTGGTTGTGGTGGTAATCCTGGTATGCCCGGGGTTCCCGGTGTGCCAGGAGTTCCTAGATGCCCTGGATAAGGTGATGTTCCTGGTCTTCCTGGTGAGCCTGGAGTACCGGGTGTGCCAGGCGTGCCGGGATATCCGGGTTGTGGTGGCAAACCCGGTCTGCCCGGGATACCAGGACTACCAGGAGTTTCTGGGTACCCCAAATCAGCTGGTGTTCCTGGTTTTCCTTGTGTGCCTGGGGTACCGGGTGTTCCTGGCGTTCCAGGCGTGCCGGGATGTCCTGGTTGTGGTGGCAATCCCGGTGTGCCCGGGATTCCTGGGGTGCCAGGAGTTCCTGGACGCCCTGGATAAGCTGGTGTTCCTGGCCTTCCTGGTGAGCCTGGAGTACCGGGTGTTCCTGGCGTGCCGGGATATCCGGGTTGTGGTGGCAATCCCGGTGTGCCCGGGATTCCTGGAATGCCAGGAGTTCCTGGATGCCCTGGATAAGCTGGTGTTCCTGGCCTTCCTGGTGAGCCTGGAGTACCGGGTGTTCCTGGCGTGCCGGGATATCCTGGTTGTGGTGGCAACCCCGGTGTGCCTGGGGTCCCAGGACTACCAGGTGTTCCTGGATGTCCTGGATAAGCTGGTGTTCCTGGTTTTCCTGGTGTGCCGGGTGTTCCTGGCGTGCCGGGATATCCTGGTTGTGGTGGCAACCCCGGTGTGCCTGGGGTCCCAGGACTACCAGGTGTTCCTGGATGTCCTGGATAAGCTGGTGTTCCTGGTTTTCCTGGTGTGCCTGGGGTGCCGGGTGTTCCTGGCGTTCCAGGCGTGCCGGGATATCCTGGTTGTGGTCGCAAGCCGGGTGTGCCCGGTGTTCCTGGAGTGCCAGGACTTCCTGGATGCCCTGGATAAGGTGGTGTCCCTGGCCTTCCTGGTGAGCCTGGAGTACCGGGTGTCCCTGGTGTACCGGGATATCCTGGTTGTGGTGGCAATCCCGGTGTGCCCGGGATTCCTGGGGTGCCAGGAGTTCCTGGACGCCCTGGATAAGCTGGTGTTCCTGGCCTTCCTGGTGAGCCTGGAGTACCGGGTGTGCCAGGCGTGCCGGGATATCCGGGTTGTGGTGGCAAACCCGGTCTGCCCGGGATACCAGGACTACCAGGAGTTCCTGGGTACCCCGGATAAGCTGGTGTTCCTGGTTTTTCTTGTGTGCCTGGGGTACCGGGTGTTCCTGGCGTTCCAGGCGTGCCGGGATATCCTGGTTGTAGTGGCAATCCCGGTGTGCCCGGTGTTCCTGGAGTGCCAGGAGTTCCTGGATGCCCTGGGTAAGGTGGTGTTCCTGGCCTTCCTGGAGAGCCTGGAGTACCGGGTGTGCCAGGCGTGCAGGGATATCCGGGTTGTGGTGGTAAGCCGGGTGTGCCCGGTGTTCCTGGAGTGCCAGAAGTTCCTGGATGCCCTGGGTAAGGTGGTGTTCCTGGCCTTCCTAGAGAGCCTGGAGTGCCGGGTGTGCCAGGCGTGCCGGGATATCCGGATTGTGGTGGCAATCCCGGTGTGGCCGGGATTCCTGGAATGCCAGGAGTTCCTGGAGCCCTGGATAAGCTGGTGTTCCTGGCCTTCCTGGTGAGCCTGGAGTACCGGGTGTTCCTGGCGTGCCAGGATATCCGGATTGTGGTGGCAATCCCGGTGTGCCTGGAGTTCCTGGAGTGCCAGGAGTTCCTGGATGCCCTGGATAAGGTGGTGTTCCTGGCCTTCCTGGAGAGCCTGGAATACCGGATGTGCCAGGCGTGCCAGGATATCCGGATTGTGGTGGCAATTCCGGTGTGCCTGGAGTTCCTGGAGTGCCAGGAGTTCCTGGATGCCCTGGATAAGGTGGTGTTCCTGGCCTTCCTGGAGAGCCTGGTATACCGGATGTGCCAGGCGTGCCGGGATATCCTGGTTGTGGTGGCAAACCCGGTGTGCCTGGGGTCCCAGGACTACCAGGTGTTTCTGGACGTCCTGGATAAGCTGGTGTTCCTGGTTTTTCTGGTGTGCCTGGGGTGCCGGATGTTCCTGGCGTCCCGGGATATCCTGGTTGTGGTGGTAATCCCGGTGTGCCCTGGATTCCTGGCGTGCCAGGAGTTCCTGGTTGCCCTGGATAAGGTGGTGTTCCTGGTCTTCCTGGTGAGCCTGGAGTACCGGGTGTTCCTGGCGTGCCGGGATATCCTGGTGGTGGCAATCCCGGTGTGCCTGGGTTCCAGGCGTGCCGGGATATCCTGGTGGTGGCAATCCCGGTGTGCCTGGGTTCCAGGCGTGCCGGGATATCCTGGTGGTGGCAATCCCGGTGTGCCTGGGTTCCAGGCGTGCCGGGATATCCTGGTGGTGGCAATCCCGGTGTGCCTGGGTTCCAGGCGTGCCGGGATATCCTGGTGGTGGCAATCCCGGTGTGCCTGGGTTCCAGGCGTGCCGGGATATCCTGGTGGTGGCAATCCCGGTGTGCCTGGGTTCCAGGCGTGCCGGGATATCCTGGTGGTGGCAATCCCGGTGTGCCTGGGTTCCAGGCGTGCCGGGATATCCTGGTGGTGGCAATCCCGGTGTGCCTGGGTTCCAGGCGTGCCGGGATATCCTGGTGGTGGCAATCCCGGTGTGCCTGGGTTCCAGGCGTGCCGGGATATCCTGGTGGTGGCAATCCCGGTGTGCCTGGGTTCCAGGCGTGCCGGGATATCCTGGTGGTGGCAATCCCGGTGTGCCTGGGTTCCAGGCGTGCCGGGATATCCTGGTGGTGGCAATCCCGGTGTGCCTGGGTTCCAGGCGTGCCGGGATATCCTGGTGGTGGCAATCCCGGTGTGCCTGGGTTCCAGGCGTGCCGGGATATCCTGGTGGTGGCAATCCCGGTGTGCCTGGGTTCCAGGCGTGCCGGGATATCCTGGTGGTGGCAATCCCGGTGTGCCTGGGTTCCAGGCGTGCCGGGATATCCTGGTGGTGGCAATCCCGGTGTGCCTGGGTTCCAGGCGTGCCGGGATATCCTGGTGGTGGCAATCCCGGTGTGCCTGGGTTCCAGGCGTGCCGGGATATCCTGGTGGTGGCAATCCCGGTGTGCCTGGGTTCCAGGCGTGCCGGGATATCCTGGTGGTGGCAATCCCGGTGTGCCTGGGTTCCAGGCGTGCCGGGATATCCTGGTGGTGGCAATCCCGGTGTGCCTGGGTTCCAGGCGTGCCGGGATATCCTGGTGGTGGCAATCCCGGTGTGCCTGGGTTCCAGGCGTGCCGGGATATCCTGGTGGTGGCAATCCCGGTGTGCCTGGGTTCCAGGCGTGCCGGGATATCCTGGTGGTGGCAATCCCGGTGTGCCTGGGTTCCAGGCGTGCCGGGATATCCTGGTGGTGGCAATCCCGGTGTGCCTGGGTTCCAGGCGTGCCGGGATATCCTGGTGGTGGCAATCCCGGTGTGCCTGGGTTCCAGGCGTGCCGGGATATCCTGGTGGTGGCAATCCCGGTGTGCCTGGGTTCCAGGCGTGCCGGGATATCCTGGTGGTGGCAATCCCGGTGTGCCTGGGTTCCAGGCGTGCCGGGATATCCTGGTGGTGGCAATCCCGGTGTGCCTGGGTTCCAGGCGTGCCGGGATATCCTGGTGGTGGCAATCCCGGTGTGCCTGGGTTCCAGGCGTGCCGGGATATCCTGGTGGTGGCAATCCCGGTGTGCCTGGGTTCCAGGCGTGCCGGGATATCCTGGTGGTGGCAATCCCGGTGTGCCTGGGTTCCAGGCGTGCCGGGATATCCTGGTGGTGGCAATCCCGGTGTGCCTGGGTTCCAGGCGTGCCGGGATATCCTGGTGGTGGCAATCCCGGTGTGCCTGGGTTCCAGGCGTGCCGGGATATCCTGGTGGTGGCAATCCCGGTGTGCCTGGGTTCCAGGCGTGCCGGGATATCCTGGTGGTGGCAATCCCGGTGTGCCTGGGTTCCAGGCGTGCCGGGATATCCTGGTGGTGGCAATCCCGGTGTGCCTGGGTTCCAGGCGTGCCGGGATATCCTGGTGGTGGCAATCCCGGTGTGCCTGGGTTCCAGGCGTGCCGGGATATCCTGGTGGTGGCAATCCCGGTGTGCCTGGGTTCCAGGCGTGCCGGGATATCCTGGTGGTGGCAATCCCGGTGTGCCTGGGTTCCAGGCGTGCCGGGATATCCTGGTGGTGGCAATCCCGGTGTGCCTGGGTTCCAGGCGTGCCGGGATATCCTGGTGGTGGCAATCCCGGTGTGCCTGGGTTCCAGGCGTGCCGGGATATCCTGGTGGTGGCAATCCCGGTGTGCCTGGGTTCCAGGCGTGCCGGGATATCCTGGTGGTGGCAATCCCGGTGTGCCTGGGTTCCAGGCGTGCCGGGATATCCTGGTGGTGGCAATCCCGGTGTGCCTGGGTTCCAGGCGTGCCGGGATATCCTGGTGGTGGCAATCCCGGTGTGCCTGGGTTCCAGGCGTGCCGGGATATCCTGGTGGTGGCAATCCCGGTGTGCCTGGGTTCCAGGCGTGCCGGGATATCCTGGTGGTGGCAATCCCGGTGTGCCTGGGTTCCAGGCGTGCCGGGATATCCTGGTGGTGGCAATCCCGGTGTGCCTGGGTTCCAGGCGTGCCGGGATATCCTGGTGGTGGCAATCCCGGTGTGCCTGGGTTCCAGGCGTGCCGGGATATCCTGGTGGTGGCAATCCCGGTGTGCCTGGGTTCCAGGCGTGCCGGGATATCCTGGTGGTGGCAATCCCGGTGTGCCTGGGTTCCAGGCGTGCCGGGATATCCTGGTGGTGGCAATCCCGGTGTGCCTGGGTTCCAGGCGTGCCGGGATATCCTGGTGGTGGCAATCCCGGTGTGCCTGGGGTACCAGGACTACCAGGAGTTCCTGGATGCCCTGGAGAGAGAAAAAATATGTATCATAACTTTGATTTATTATATTTATTATACCGCTCCTTCTAATACTTTAGCGTTGTGCTATATATGTTTTTGTTTTTTAAATTATAATAGTATATAATAAAAAGAGAATGGATTTTATATATGGAGTTTACATATGCTACAGCGCTTCTAATCTTTTGCAATATATAATTTTAAAACACTATTAATTATAAAACACGATATATATTTCGAAATTATATACTAGTTATACCAGGCTTATAAGGAGGTCCAGTCGGTCTTGCATCTATCGTTGATCCACTTCCGATAGGTGCTGCTTAGTAAAACATGAACATTTTTATTGTGGAATAAAGATCACATACATATACATTATATTCATATATGTATATGAAAAAATATTAATTTACATAAAAAGTAAAAATATTTTATAATATTTTTATATATTTTATAATATGCTATATGATGTAATATTTTCTATATACTTTCATTTGATTTTTTATACGTACTCCCTGCACCTGGTTTTACGTGCGGTGGAACGTTTGGATTTTCGTATTGTGCGCATACTGCGGGAAAATACAATTCTCGCCACGGTGTAATCACACCGTGATGTTCATGATGATCATGACTGTCTTCGGTTTGATGATGTTCGTGCTGATGAATGAATAATTCCACTTCCTTTCCGGGCCGAACAACGCGATAACCCCATCCATCACTGATGTAAAATGTCGATTTCAGTTGACCAAACGGATCAATGTAACCATAACATCCGTAGGTGATACCATCTGGTCCACGTACTTCATGATGGAATTGACCATTTGGACCGACGTCGTAACCGTATTTGTATGCTTCTGTGTAAAATATTATATAATATCAATTATATAATTGCAATTTATATTATAACTCAAAGTTTCTTTACCACAAGAAAAAAATAAATAAATAGATTGTATGGTTTATTTTAGATAGAATTTTATATGTAAATTTTATATAAATTATGGACTTTTATTCTCTCTCCCTTAATTCTTGTATTGAATTGCAATATAATGAGTTTTTTCATTATTCTTATTTTTCTACTTACCCGAGTCAATATTTTGACTCAAATATTGAACTTTTTGTTCATCGCTAATATTCAGAATCACATCGTTGTTCCGATTTCTGCTTTTTGGTTCCTGAGTGAGTTGCGACACGCATGTAGCAATCAACTAAAAAACAATTATTGATTTTTATTTATAAGTGTCGAGGCAGAGATAATTCAAGTCTGCATACAAGTCACGTGAATATTTAATCTGCGATCCAATTTTAATTTTTACTTTCACAAGTCATATTTAATTCCCTACAAAAATGAAAATGTTACAAAGAATATTATTAATAAATTAGCGGCACACGTATACAATATGATGTACCCAGTAAGCTAAAAAATTGAAAATTGATAACAAAACAGAATTGAATAAAAAATAGAGAAGATAATGTGAATCTGCATCATCGTATTGTATCGTTAATAATGGCTCTAATAATTATATTAGAAATCTAACATTTAAGTTTTTAAGTCTAATAATTATATTAGAAAATCTAACATTTAAGTTTTTATTACGAATTATTATTATGAATTAAGAATTTATTACATATGACACATATAAAAATTCAAAGATATTTATTGTATCTTATATAAACATAATAATTTTTTCAAATGTTTAATAGTGAAATTATAATCATTTATTTCTGCAAACTCACATAAATGTATGTACTATAAGACATTATGCTACCTTTATGGAAATATCTCGTGCTAATAAGAAATGGTTGTGCCAGTCGCAATAATTTTGCTTCGTCAAGGCTCGTGACATTTCCAACGCAAAGCGTCATAACGTAATTATCAGGTGGTGTTTAAAAACAGTTGCCCTTTAATATCAGTCGCCAAGATTAAGTATTTGATACGATCTATAAGTACAATCGTGAAATATCATCGATGTTTCCCATTCCTGCAGTCGTAGCGATTTGTAACTACTGAGTTTAAGCACGAGATGTATCGCACGATTATGGAAATACAAAAATCTCTCCTTGAGCGCGATATTTCTGTCAATCAATTGCTTTTAATCACATTACATGTAATATATATTTAGAAAATATATAGAGTATTTGCCATAATATTTGAATTGCTCCTGATATATAGACGAAAAAATTTATTGGTTTTCGATAAAGAACAAAATGCTAAAAATTTTTTAAATGCTTTTCTACGGAAAATTAAAGTCATCTAATGTTTTTCTTTAATAGAATCATAAATTTTTTCCTTATAATACGTAAAAAGACGAATTGATGTATCACTCCGACCTTAAGAAAATTCAATTAGTAGCTATACAGATCAGTTCTCGCGACATATACGTAACGTATAAATTATGAGAGTTGAAATGAGATCAAGATACACCTTTAAAACAGAAGATTGCTCAATATGCGGAACTCATCTTCTTTATCTTCGAATATATTGCCATCTCTTCGATGAGGTAATATATTACCACTTTCTCGAATGGTAAAAAAATTATGTATCTTTCGCTGCCGTTTCCGATCTCAATTAATTATCCATTCTGCATAAGCGAAAGTCGAAGATGATCAATAACTAACAGTAGAAATGCTTTTTTTAATTTTCAATTTGCATGAGACGAGGACTCTCTTATAAACTTGCTTTTAGCAAATTAATTACTTGCGTAAAATAATTCAGTGATGCTAAGGGTAATAAAAAAAGTATTAAAATATTTAAAAACAACTACCAAACCGTTATTTCATATGCGCCATTTATCAGAAACACATGTATTATTTGATAAACCTCGATAATAAAATCTTACGCGAATCAAATCTCGCAAATGTAAGAACAGGTAATTTCTATATTTCATCGGTGAGTCAGTTCCGGAGATAAAATTTTCGAATTTGGCACCGAATCCGGATCCTTCCCCGTTCACTCTTGCCGCTCTATCACCGGTGAGCCTTGTGGCGATAATAATAACGAAGAATACCTGTGCTCTCGTAACAGGATCGTTGGATGCTGTTACGAAAGCTAGCAATGTTCTCTCGGAAGATTACACTTGTGTCTTCACCATCTCCCTAAATGGACGTGGCGAATGAAATGGTCTCTTTCGCACTTACAGGTCAAGAGAATGTCAAGGTAAGGATACGTTATTGGAGTTCCTTCGTCATGATATATCTAAACGCGTTTGGCGGATGTTTAATCGCACACTTAATCTGCGAGAAAGAAAGACTACTGAAATTAATTTTAATTTAAGTCTCAATCCAATGAAGATGAATTGTTATGTCTGTATCTTAAGCTCCAGTATTTTAAAATCAGTCACGAAAGAGCCAAACTTAATTTCTCATGTTTATTTTACTTGCCGAATATTTAAATTAATTATAAAATACACGCTTAATATTTTTGTTTGATTGTCATCATGATCATAAGTTTGTCTGGTAGAACAAAAAAAAAAGACTATTTGTATCAAAACAATTAACCGAGATTAATCCACTTTTTTAAATATAATTTTTCAATTTTTTAAATTTAATGCGTTTTATATTTCGTATCAGCTACATAGAATAATCTCTCAATTATTCTCACTCACGTCCAAAACTTTTGGTTCGACAATACTTAACAATCGCTAGTATAAATCGTTCTATCCGATTTCGTAATCGATTCATGTTCGACGAAAATTTCTCGTATAAATAACGAGAGAGCGTTCGTTCGTGCTGTCAAAAGTAGCACGTGTCCTGGTCGGCCGCGTTAAGTTAGGTCTGGCCCCAAGATCCGCGGCTCGATGTCGCGCGATTGATGATCTCAACGTTCCACCCACGAGAAGGGAAAGTCGCGATTCCAAGAAGGCTGCGCGAGCGGGATTCCTCTTCGTCGTCTTTTTCTTCCCCGAGAGTTGACAGACTATATAACGAAAAGGTTAATATATGCTACTCCCGGCCGAACCCTTCCCCCATGCGCACTTGCCACGTCAAATGTTGCCGTGAGGATTAATCCCTACGGTATTTATATTGCGATATTTTAGTGGACAATAGAGAGAGAGAAAGAGCGAGATCGTTTCAGTCAAGGCAATCATAATGTTTAAGTATTACAAGCCATTTGCTCTCTGATGCAATCTTATTTTCATATTTGATTTATTTTGATTCCAGACAAAATGTTATTCTATATTTTATTTTATTAAAGAAGATTAAAGTATATTTATATATGTTTTTTTTTCTCTCTCTTTTTACTCCCAAAAACTCAATCAATAAATAATCTATAAACTTGACAACCGAGTATAATACCGAGTATTAACAATTTAAAACTAATGTAAGATAAAAAAATATGTTAATAAAATAATGAAATAAATTAAAATATATCGATTTGATTTATTGTTTTCGTAATTTTGATTTTTTCTGTATGCTAAAAAATATGAATATGTCTGTTTTACCTAGATACAAGCTGGTCCTGTTTAAAGGATCAGAACCAATATCTATTTGTTAAGTTGAAATGACAAACTGTAGACCTGAGAGAGAACGGTACACATTCGTAATAGTAAAAACAATAATTGGAATAAAGTTCTTTTCCCACGTATTTACTCGGAAATTAAACTGTGAAAATTACGGGACTACGATTTATTAATTATAGCTTCAATCCTCGACTTAAGCAAATGTTGTAGAGTCATCGACTATATAGTATAAGATATGTTAATTTATGCAACGCCATGAGTCAAATTGCCGGTATGGGCGGGTAATATGCGTAATGCTAGAAGAAATGCTCCAGAAACCTAGTGAACCCCTTTTAATCAACTTCAAATAAATCAACGAGGCTACAAATGAAAAGTAAATCAATAGATCTAGCAAATTTTGCAACAATTGCCAATAATTACTGGTTAATCGATTATCAATTGCCAAATATATTATATACAGAGTGAAAGAAGTAATAACCATCATTACGTAATTCATATAAATTTTCAATGCATAGATAATCATTAAATTGTTTAATTTTTTAATTAAATTATATATTTTATATATATTTTTCGCTATACCTTATTTATTCCATTATTTCAGTCGTTTTATTATCACATTTTATTTTTATTTTATTTATATATTTTATTATCTAAAATTATTTAAAAAAACGTTAGTATTAATATCGATATAATAGTATTGGAAAAATGCAACTGCGTGCTCTTATTTCAGCCGAGGATTCACCTTACTCGATCTCGACTTCATCTTTGACTACGCAAAGAATACAATGCGATCTTTAATATCATGCTAGAAATCGCTAATCAACCTTCGTCTTTAAAGAGTTGATCATTCAAATTGCTTTCACTATCTCGAATTTAATTAACATCTGTATTAGTGATTACATAAATTATATAAAAAAATCACAGTGTAAGAAATGAGGGAGGTTAATATTTTTGATCGCGAACATATAAAATTGCATTTACTTTCTGCGAATCTCGGTTGAACATTATCAAGAATCGATCGGAATAAACAAAAGGTGCGTGTTCGAGACTTTAGTATGAGTTAAAGGTAAAGAGGACGACATTTGACGTAGCCGGATCTCTTTTAATTGCTCGTGGCAAATCTGCCCGTCAAATGGCCAAAGCTGTATCACCTTATGAATCGCGTACATAGGGGCCGGATCAATGCATCATCTTCCAGTGAAAGTCACCTGTAAGCGGTTGCGTAAGGAATCAGCGATTTTAGCCTGGGGCGAAGCCTCCGGTACACAATTGTTTGCACGGTCGACGGCATTGATCTCAGCGATATAATTCAGTTGTTAGAGTTCAATCATTTTTAAAACATTTCGATCAATTAATCGCGCATGGGAAGAACAAGAATAGCACCCGGAGAATATCTACCCTGTCTATTATTTTAAGTCAATTATGGATAAAGTTATTGAATGGCGAGCAAGCTTGTTAAAGTTCCAAGTGACTAATAATATATACTGACAATAAATGGGTAAAATGTATTAATGAAATTTGCCTGTTATTTTTAAATCTGTTTTTGATAACAAAATGTTGAAAAATTCGCTAGTTTTCTATGTCTTATAAATAGTGAATTATTTGAGATATTTCATATAATTTTGTGTCTGTAGCTTCATTTAAAATAAAATTCAATCAATTAATAATTTTTCAACATTCAAATAATTTCTCAATATTCCAGTAATAAGACCACAGATAGAGAGACAATTATAAATGTCGGGATTTCGTTAATGAAATGTAAGAACAACTGTCTTTAAATACCCTCTATCCTGTCTTTCAGTCTTTTTTGATGTACCGCCATCTCATTACACTATGCCATAAAACCGCAACCGACTTTCATACCGGTAATTATAATTAAAATTAATGAATTTTATTGACAATAAATCTCTCTCTCTCTTTTTATACACATATAATTAAATATATATTTCGTAGCTCTGCTAAATGATTTTTAATCTTACTTAAGTATTATAAAAAATATCTGTCACTTTTCAGAAAAATATTTTGGTTTATATAAGATATATATTTTCATAAATATTCATATAATACACACACAATAAATTTAAAAGATTATTAAAAGGTTATAATTGCACTCTTTGTCTCTTTCTTGTCTGTCGTTACAACTAGAATATACTTATTTGTACAAAGAGTACAATTAAAATGAGCAAGTCTGATGTTTCGAACATCCCGATGTCATTCAATCAAATTACAAATGCGTATAAGGTGATACGAGAAGAAGATCTATTGAAGTATGCAGAATCACACGCCTTTTATTTTAAGCTTCCAAATAACGTGCCGGCACGCCAAGGACGAAACTTCGCATCAGATGTGAATGACGCATTTTTAACGACAAACGTCTGCATGTGACTCATTTTACCCGACATCTCATCTGACATTTGATCACCACTCGCGGACCCAATACCTATTTTGGCAATAAACTTTCCATGAATATTTTCATGGACTTCAGTTAATCGACAATTATCGTCAAAAGAATCAATAAAACGGTTTCTGGAAAAATGCATACAAACTTCAGTTACTAAGCCATTTTTCGATCAATCTCAACTCAAGTTCGTTTTTCTTTATATTTTCTTGATAATTAAACGTTATATTAAAATCCACCTTAGTTAAACGAAAGATCTCTGTTTTTTCTGTTTTATATTTACGTTGATTAATTCATAAAAAATTATTCAATATCTTGATCGCTTATATCTTTTTAAAAAACGCACTTTACAAGGTACATAAAACAAATAGATCTTATTGGATGCGTCCTAAATATTGAAGACCTTGCACTCGAGTTTAATTTGGAAACATAAAATACTCGACTCGAATTACAGGGTAGAATCGTACTTGCGAAATGTTCGAGTCATTCCATGGAAAGTGGTTCTGGCAATGATTGATGACTACCGGTTATACTATAGTTATCTCGCATCTATAGAAATTATCTTTGGATACAATCCGTTTTGCTATTAATAAATCTGAAGATATACGGCGTTTCTATATTCATATCAATAGTGCTACGAAAAAAATGATGATATTTTTAATTATATAAATTAAGTTTAAAATATACAGAACATTTTTATATTGTTGATTGAATCAAATGTATAACTCGCTTGTTACAATTACGTTTATTTAAGTCAATCAATTTGCATAATATAAATTTGTAACGTGATATTTATATAATAATAGAGTAATGTTGATACATAGGCTAATATATATAATAATATTATTAATAGCGCATTGAGATAGTTAGGCGAGTTTGATGTTAACTTGATAGAGAAGTCGCAGGTCAAAGTTTAGGACACTGCATTATGCATCGTGCACGATGTTGCACGATATCAACATCGCGGCATTGAGAGAGTTATGAATGAAATATAGTGCAATAGCATTCTCTCTCCCTTGACTGAGTGCCAAGATCAATGAAAGTCTCATGGATAATGAGTCACGACAAAGCGCGGATATTATCGGTTTGTAATCAGCGTCACTTTCTATTACGTACTATTACACTGCATAAATATTATATAATAGATAGTAATAGTAATGACCATGCCAGAGAGAAACACTAGACAGCAAATTATAAAAATTAAACGCTAACTTAAGATTTTATTAACGTTTAATATTAATTTAATACTAACTTTTTAACGCTTATTATTTATGAAATTAATTATGTTAAATTTATATTTAATTTAATTTATTTAATATAAAACAACTTAAATAAATTTCAAATTTAATTTTTAATTAATTATTTCCAGTAAATTTTTTGAGATAAAACAATGATTTATATATGATAAAATTCTATTCTTTATTTTATAATTTATCTTTACTTCACCATTTCGTTCGTTAGATCAATTTATTAAACGCATATTTTTTTAATGCGTTATTTTAATTTATGACTGATTTTATTAAACGAAATGATATTTTCAGTAATGAGGTTTCTCGCATCTCGAGAAAGAAATTAGTTCGAGAGCGATTGCGGCTTTTATTGCAAATTCATTGATTTTCTAAATCCCGAGGAAAGCGCGCGGAATGATATCAAGGAAGTTAAACGTACCAGGGTGAAGAGAGCAGCGGTGGCACGCCGCAGCATCTTAACGAGAATCTTCTCTCAGTAGGGCATAGTATGCGACCGATCACCTTTGCAGGACGACGACAACGAGGATGATTCCTGAAGATAATCGCACGCAGCGCGCCGTTCGAACTGAAAGACTGAACAGGTCGCCGGCAGAAAAAGACTTTTATACAGGGTGGGGGTCCCGGGTGGCCGACCCCCCGACGGATCCTATATCCACATGCTCGCATCTTCTCTTTTCCTTATTCTTCTCGTTTCGACTCTCCTCCTCTTTCATATAAAATATAATTTTTCCATTCCAAGTCATTAGTAATGATAGAATTAATTTGGCACATTATCTAATCGTTAATTTTCCTTGTATCTTAATTCGTCTCGGAGATTGCATTTTGAATTGCTTCACTTTACGAAGGACATTACTCGAAAATTCTTGTCTTTTAAAAATTACAAACATTTGTTTGCGTTAATACAATGCGACACTACAAAGGTGTAGTGTCATCTCATTTTGTTTTATTATATTTATATCATCTTATATTATTATTATATATCTCGTTAATTCAATCCAATTTATGTTTGCCTTATTCTCTCTCTGGATCTATCTCTGTCTCTGGAAATAACGGGATCAAATGTGTGATAGGATCTTGATATTCGATACCGCTTGCAAAGGATTATTCCCATCAGTATGCGCATCTTGATCCCGGTTGGCTAAACGGATGGACCTCGATTGAAGATGCGTTGCTCGGGGAATGTGGTTCAGGTGCGCTCTTACGTAAACGCACTTAGGTTTAAGTCTTTAACCTTATATTTGTCTCCCACGCTTGATGGATAAGCAGATGAATTAATCTCGAATAATTTCTCCATATTTAGTTAATGGTAACGCGTGGAGTATACATCGAGGTGATTAATAACGATCGGCTTTCAGAGGAATCAATTAATTATGGATCAATATGCCGTTTAATTGGATTCGAGGAACGCTCTTTCAATGCCCTTTGTGTTGTTGTTCGAATACGGTTGACTTCTATAAGGCTTTGTATGATTCTAGAATGCATGGCCATTGTTCATTGCAACAGTTAACTTTTCTCTTTGTGTGTCCTTAGCATATAATCGTTTTGTATGCTGATTACAGAATCAATTGGTCGAAAGTTTGCTTAATTGATGTTACAAATACAAATCAGAAGGATTAGTTTATTAATTCTTAAAAATTTGTATTTTTGAAAAATCACTAAAATATAATTTATCTATTTATTCTTTGAAGAACGTATTGTGAAACGATGGCTTCGAAATGTCGATAAACATTAATTGATTATTAGCAATCGCGTTCTTAATCGAATCGTGCATCTTAATTATCACTATTCAGCGCACGTTTCGTGGAAATTATAGCAATGATAGGTTCTTATTGTTTTCTTTGTGTACAAATTTTGTAAAAACAAATTTAAAGATTTCTCCAGGGAAATTCTTAATAACAGCTATTAATCACTTTATAATAGACATCTTTATAATATATGATTCCCGGATAATAGAATTTGGTAATATTTTAAAAAGACGCTCTTTATATAAAATATCGATGTTAGAAATCCTGTTTTTAATAGACTTATCGCGCACGATACATGTCTTATCTGTTTAAAAATAACTTTCTTCTTGCCGAAATCCTGCTGTGCTTTGCCATTATTATTGATGTAAGATGGTTTAATAATGTAGATATTATAGTATACCGGCAAAAATCATTTTCCTTCCAAATGAGCTCGAATAAATTAGAATTGAAATCACAATACGTAGATCCGCAATAAGAAGTGCAGATACTGGAAACTTTTAATTCCCGAATCTCCACCTGACCAATTACAATAAATTCTATGGAGAGAGAGAGAAGAAAAGTATTAATTCTCTCTAATATGTCTTTTAATATTATAAAATTCATCAAATTTTCATTTTTTTAAATAAAGTATTAGCATAAAAAGATATATGTAGGTTTTTAGTAATATATAAAAATTATTGATTAATTTCTTAAACAATTTATATATTTGTTTATATTTTGTAAAATATAAAGAGATGTTATATACATATCCTAAATAAGTAAATACTCTCTCTCTCTCTCTCTAACGTTATTTATAAAATATATTCTAGAAATTGTACAAATTGTTAAGGTATTTCTTTTGTGTTTCGTAAACACTAGCATGTTATGCTAAGAATTATGTCTTTCTTTCTAAGCGCATTTCTTTCCTGCAACATTTCATTATTTTTTTATGATAAATCGGGTATTCGTTGATTCTGGAAATAATGTATAGTTTGTGGAAGTATCGTCCAGCACGCAAGGATGCCTTCCAAGAAATATAAAGTCTTTTATCGGATTTAACCATTCTACCTCAACGCACGCGGTGGAGTCACATCATCCTTATTTTACCTTTAAATAATCCCGACTGATCCGGTTTGCAGCGAATATTAAAGCGACGAAAAGAAAGTTCAGTAACCGATTATTTAAAAAAACATTCGCAAAAAAAGTTTAGAAAATATTCAATTTATAATATTCAATATTTTTAATATTTCAATAATTTGTAATTTTACATTAATAGGTTGTAAAAGCTTAATGGCCAATGAAATTCAGCTGTTTACAATTTAACAAAAGAGCGCTTAAATTCGACAATTAAATTCCGAGCAAAAAATATATATAAAAATCGCTAAATCTAAAATATAACTTTAATTAAATTAAGAAAAACAAATTTAGCATATAGCCAATACTAGAAACTGGAAGATCTTAAAGTATATGAAATTACTATCTCTATCTAATCTTAATCAAAATTCTTAAATTCTCAGCCTTCAAATATTTTTGTTAAAAAAAACATCCTGTTTTAATATTTTATTAAAAATATCCGACTAATATATGTATATGTGCCTGTCGTTCAAACTTACGTTTAATGAGATTCTAATGCAAATATAATATCTTAAAAGATATATACGAAAGAAAAAGAACCATTTGAGCAATATATAGTAAAAGTAGCGACGTACATATATTTATCTATTCTATAGTTGAATTTATGACAGAAGAATATATATTATTTCCAAATTATTTTCAAATAAATAATTCTGATAAATACATATTACTATTAATGCAAACATACAACATCAAATATATATTAGGGACAGAGTAAAAAGTAGGCATGTCTCTTTTAGAATATTCTAAGGTAAATATATGCTAACGCTATCTAAAAATGTTAAAGGTGACAAGATTTCAAGATGTGTAAATATAAGATATCGAAGTATGTAAGAATCCATACACATTTCCGGAAGCATATTTGCCGATTTCGACAGTCAATTATGGTGACCCGAAATAAAGAACATTTGTTCTCGCAAAGTGCGTCGCTCGATTTAATATAGAAACAAAATGATTTATTTTTATTTTATCATTAATTTTTAATGATATATTTTATCATGGCGTCTATGACGTCCTTCTAGGACAATATTTTTAGCCAGCTGATTGTCTACAGATGCACCGTAAATGTATGTAAATTTTTAGACTGCGAGAGAGGACGATGCATATTGTGGTTCGTGTTAGAATGTCTCGTTTGCAGATTATATCAACGGTTAGCGAATGTACAAGGTGTTCGAAATTTGACGAGCCACTTCTCGTCAAATTCGACTCAATTATTTATTAATAAAATATCGACAGAGATTATAATTAATCGCAGATTCTTCCTTTATAAAGTGTCTTTGTAATTAAACTTTAACTTATAAATTTTGTTAAAATAAAATCTTTTCGTAAAAGAATTAAGGATTATCTCTTATTTTCTGAAAAATTGTCTCAATTAATCGCTTATGATTTAATAATTGTTATACAAAATAATAATCAAAAAATTTCTAGATAAATATGAGTTCTGTTAAATGTGGAGTACCTTATATATTTATAGTAAATACAATATAAAAAAGAAGAGTACGGCATTGCTACAAAAGTTCTGAAATACGCATGCTGCCATTCTCCGGCGATAGCCATGCGTTTTTCGCATGCCGTTGGCGTAAGGCAGTTCCTCACGATGTCAGCGGATTGATATGCATATTTACGCGTCGTTTAAAGTCCGCTCGTTTCTTGCCCTCCTTGTTGTCAGAGATATGTGGGACTTACGTAAAGCTGTATTCATACGCAGTGAATGAGAGGGCAAAAACTCGATATAAATGTAAGTTATATTATTTTAAATCAGTTTAAAATTTTTTATAGATTCGTAATTTAGAATATGTATGCGAGAATAAATTTGAATTAAATTAGATTAATTAAGGCTAAATTAGAATTGACTTTTGTTGCGAGAAATGCGAATACTTGTGAGGATCCCACGAAAGGGAGCTCATGTATATGCGAAGGAACGAGGAAATTTTTGCGGCGTGCTCCGATTCCTACCCGGAAATTCACGCGAGTGATGTCATTCGAGATTCTGCTTCGAATTTTTCAGCCATCGGTCCATTAGGACCGGCATTCGAAAACAGGGTTTCGCCGAGTTCACGTATAGAAAATAAGATGAAATATCGCGTATAATTACGATATCATGGAATATAAGTGATTCATCTTTTCTGGTTAAATTAACATTTAAATTGTGAATTTTGTCTTTTCGAATTAAAATGCAAAAAGATATGAAATACCTCAAAATATCGCGTTACGTAATTAATTAGTTTATTGAACCTAAGAATATTTCCAATACATCAATACTTTACTGCCAACATCGAATATTTTCTGATATTGATCCTATTTGGAGAAACTATCGAGTAATAAGTAGATGATGTAACATGATAGTTTCGAAAATTTATATAGACGTATATATTACTCCTCTTTTTTTCTACTAATTAATTCTGGAATACTCTGTCAAACTTAGAGGGCGTATTCTTTGGTAAATTTGGCGTTTATTTTTTATAGAAAATTTGAACGAATGTGACTTTTTTTACAATTTTTCAATTTTCAGAATATTAAGTATCTTCAAATAATTAAGCATTTTTTATTAGAATTTTGTTGAAATAAAGTATATCAAATGAGAAAAACAAAAGAGGGAATAACGTTTTGTTATGAACTGTGGAAAGACAGAAAGTGCAAGGAAGCATTATCGATTCCGAATTACGCAGACACTTCTGACGCTCGCAT